GAGGCGAGAGAAACAGGGACATAACAGAAGTGGTGTGGCCTCCTGGCGGCTGAGGAGTCCAGGATGGGGCCGAGCTGGGCTCCCAGGGCCCCAGACCTGGCCCCAAGAGGTGGTGTGGCTGACTGACTGACCAACGACATGACAGCTTCAAGATGGTGTGTGGGTCATGGCAGGGAGGTGGGCGGGCAGACTAACGGAGACACACGGGGAAAGCCGAGGACCCAGGAGGGCCGGGGAGAAAGGTCCAGAGAGTGAGAGCACCGCACAGGTGGGCTGGGCAGAGTGGCCGCCGCAGGGAGACGGGCAGAGTGGGCCACAGGAGCCCGGGGCCGGGGCGGGGTGATGGGGCGGGAGACACACGCAGGGCAGGGGCAGGTGGAGTCGGACGCGGGACTGGGGTGCTCTCCCCCTTACCGTGTCTTTGGAGGACCTACGCCTCTTGAAGCTGGAAGCCAGGGTGGAGGTGATAGCCCTAAATGTGGCTTTCTTTTTAGGGTCAGGCTCTGCTCTACCACTCTTTCTATCCTAAAATGAATATGTATAAGTGATTAGATGGCTAGGGTGGTGGCCACACCTGCCCTCGCCTGCTCCTGGGTGGGCCGCTGCCCAGCCTGGCCGGCCACTTGGGCCCTCGCTCCTGCCTGCCTCCCTGTGCTGCACAGATGGGCCGACAGCGGACGTTCGAGGGTCGCCTCTTCTCCTGCCCAGGGTCTCGGGCCTGACCTTGCTCATGCTGGGACTGGGCTTGGGGGATCTCGGCTGGCTCTTCCTGGGATGTCCGCCTGGCTCCCTGGCTCCTGGGTGGCCCTGGCTTACAGGCGTCCCGAGGAGAAGGAGTCCTCTGAGGACTGGAGGAGTTGCCCCTCAGGCCACACCAGCTGTCTGCCTGGAGGCCACTGACCCCCAAGGGGCACACATCAAGATTCAGGAAGGGGCCGAGGGCCAGAGGCAGGTGTCGAGGTGAAATTGGAGTGACAGAGGCAGCTCCCGGGACTCTGGCCTCAGGTCTGATGGCCAGGTGGCCTGTGCCGGCCAGTGGTGGCAGCAGCCAGGTCCCCAGGGGACCTGTGGGGCCAAGAGAGCAAGAGTGGGCAGATGAGAGGTGTGGGGCTGCAGCAACCCCCTCCCCCAGCAGCCCTGGCTGCAATGTCAGCTTCATCTCAGGACACAGGCTCCAGGACGGCACCCAGAGAAAGAGAAGAGATGGAGTGAACTGGAATTCGGCCACAGCCCAGGCCCTGAGGCCTGTACAGGCCCACTACCCACCCTGTCCCAGGTGGGCAGTGGCTGCCCTTGCTGGCGGCAAATTCTCATGGATGCGACCTGGCCACCAGGCAGGACCAGGCCTGGCCCAATTCGGATCAGAGTCACAGAGCACAAGGAGAGCAGGAAGGGGGTCTCCGAAGGGTGTCAAGGGGGCTTGGGTCGGCGGAGGGCAAAATGCATCTTGGACTCACGTGCCATACACAGGCGGGCCCCTGTCTTACCCTGCCTGATTGCCTTCCTATGGAATGGGTACCGTCGGGCGACTCTGGAGACAGAGGGGCCAGGCGGAGGCTTGGAGCAGGGTCCGTGGCCTCCCTCGGCCCCGGCTTTGTAGTGGGCAGCCACCTGCAGGCAGCCCCCCACCAGCACTGCCCCCGTTCCCTGGGAGCACTCACCATTGCCCCTGGCCATGGCTCCTAGCTCCAGTCCTGCCCACCGGAGCCAGAGCCAGTGCCACGGCCTTTGGGGATGGAGGAGGGCCATGGCCAGGCCGGGCCCTGGGCACCAGGCCTCGGAGGGTGGCCTGCCCTACCTGCAGGTTCTTCCTCCACACGTTCACTGCTGCAAAAGCCAGCTGCATCTGCTTCCGGCGGGCGTCCTTGTGCCGCTTGTAGGCAATCTCAATGAAAATCAGGAAGATCCCAGCCACGATGCCCCCAGCCACCAGCATGAAGACCCCTGTGTGCCAGGATCCAGAGCCTCATTTGCTGGCCAGGGAGGCCGCAGTCCACAGAGAACCCACCGGAGTGTCAGGGAGGCCGCACCTGCCATGTTCTCAAAAGTGAGGGTCGCAGGGGCATTGCTGCGTGAGTCACATTCCTGATACCGAACCCACGTCTTGTCCAGGTCTTCCATGAAGCCATTCTCATGGGACCTGGGGGTGGGGGCTAGTGAGCCTGTGGTGGGCGGTGCACAGGAGGGGATGAGGCAAGCTGGGGGCAGGGGAGCCAGGGTGGGGCCTGTGGGGTGGGGGGACATGGAGTGGGCAGCACCTGGCCCTGTCTGGAATCTGTGGTCCAGCACTGGGGAGGGCATCCATCTCTGGTGGAGGGGCAGAGGAGAGACACCGGCACCCTGGTACTCACTTGAGGATGGACAGGGACACGTTCTGCTTCCAGGCAGAGGAGGGACACGGGCGCCCTGGGACTCACTTGAGGATGGACAGGGACACGTTCTGCTTCCAGGCAGAGGAGGGAGTCGGGTGCCCTGGGACTCACTTGGGGATGGACAGGGAAACGTTCTGCTTCCAGGCAGAGGAGGGACACGGGCGCCCTGGGACTCACTTGAGGATGGACAGGGACATGTCTGCTTCCAGGCAGAGGAGGGACATGGGCGCCCTGAGACTCACTTGAGGATGGACAGGGACACGTTCTGCTTCCAGGGGCTGTCTTTCCGCATGCCGATGCCAAAGCCAGAGCGAAAGAACAGCTCTCCTGTCGTCACCAGGTCGCACTTCTGCGAGGCCTCGAACTCCAGCACTGCTGAGTCCCAGATGAAGGCGTGCAGCTTGCTGCCGGCAGAGGCGGGGTCAGGGGAGCCCTGGTCCTGCCAGCCTGGAAGCCCCACACCCGTGACCTCCGGGGTGCCCGGCTTGGATGCGCTCCTGCCTTGGGGAGGCTGCCCATCCCGGTCCGCACCACCCACTCCCCGCGCCCCACCTGTCCTTCCCGTCCTGCACAACCCCTTCCCCGCGCCTCACCTGTCCCTCACGGCCTGGATGGCCTCCGCTGCGCTCTCATAGTTGTGCTTCTCCATGTGCCGGTACATGGTGCTCAGCTCCACCTGCCGCCGGAAGTAGATGTCCACGGAGCTCTGCTTCACCGTGGCATAGATGAACTTGTCCGAGGGGTTCCTCAGCTGCAGGGTCAGAGGGCAGGGCTCCAGCAGTGGCTCCCCAGGCCCGTACCTGAGCCGACCCCAGCTAACCTGGAGCTCCCTCCCCCAGCCCGGCCAGGCCTCACCCGAGGGTCGTTGATGCCTGTGATGCGCTCCTCCGGCCGGTCCAGAACCAGGAAGGCCGCCAGGTTGGCAGTGTAGGAGGCCACGATGATCATGGCAAAGCCGGCCCACACCATGCCCAGGATGCGCGCGGAGAAGCTTCTCGGGGCGCCTGTGGGCGGGCGGCGGGGTGAAGGGCTCAGTCAGACTCTAGAGGGCTGGGGCAGGGCCGGGCGGGCCGGGCGGGTGGGGCCTTACCTTCCCCGATGCCGGAGTTGAGCAGGACGCCCCAGGAGAACCACATGGCCGAGGACAGGGTCAGTGCGTCCTCCTCCTCATCCTCGCTGTTCACCTTGAATCGACCGAAGGGGCTGCGGGGCGCAGAGGTCGGGCGGGAGAGAGGGCGGGAGAGGCGGCCCAGTCCCGCCCCACCCCTCGCCGGCCCCGCCCCCCGCGGATGGAGGTGTCTAGGCCCCGGGTCGCGCTCACCTGAAGCGGTCCAGCAGATATAGCATCACCGCCACCACGTGCACCGACAGCCCCACCAGCAGCCACAGTGTGCTCTGGAACGGCTGCATGAACGAGTCCAGCGTGCTCCGGGGGATCTCCTGCGGGGGACGCGGGGGACGCGGGGTTAGCGCCGCCCGGGTGCTCCGGGCACCCGCTGCCACCCGGCCCCTGCCCACCTTCTTGACCAGAATGGTCAGGCCCTGGTACTTGAAGGGCTTGGAAAACTCGATGTACTGCGCGCGCTCGTTGTTGATGGTCAACGGCGCCACGATCATGTCTGCCTGCCCGCTGAGCAGCTCGCCCATCATCCCGTTCCACTCCTTCTTGTTGCTGTTGTTTACCTGAGAGGCGCCAGAGCCGGCGGGGATGCAGGCAGCGTCCGCCCAGCTCCCGCCGCAGGCCCACCCAGAGGTCCTGCCTCAGACCCTAAGCCAGCTCGCAGGCGCCACCCTACTCCAGCCCCGACCTGCCCCCCCACCGGCCGCGCCTGCTCCATGCCCCACCCCTTCCAAGCCCCCGTCCGCAGGACCCTCCCACACCGGGCCCCACCCCAGCCAGCAAGCCCCGGCCAGTAAAGCCCACCGTCCACTCTATGCCCCACCCACTCCAGGACCCGCCGGCCCCTCCATGCCAGGCCCCACCTCAGGCCCTGCCCGCCCCATGCTCCGCCCACCCCACGACCCAGCCCTTAGGCCCCGCCCACTCTGCCTCACCCACTCCAGGACCTCCCGCCTGCAGGCCCCACCCAGTTCATGCCCCTCCCACTCCAGGACCTCCCGCCTGCATGCCCCGCCCACTCCACGCCCCACCTCGTCTTTCAGGCCCCTCCCATGCTGGGGCCACAACCCACCCAAGCCCCGCCCTCTCCGTGCCCCACCCACTCCAGGACCCCCGCCTATAGGCCCCTCAAGCTGGGCCCCGCCCCCGCCTCCCCGCCTACCCGCTCCTGTGTGCCGAACTTGCCATCGGCCACCAGGTGCACCTCGTAGGTGAAGTTCATGGTCCGGGCCAGCTTGATGAGCAGGTCGATGCAGAAGCCGTAGCAGCACTGAGGCACCGTGTGGCGGGCTGGGGAGGTGGGGGCCGTGACTGCTGGGCTCCGGGCCGCCCCGCGCCCCGCGCCCGCGCCCTGCCCCTTGCACTCACGGCTGCCCGGCGACGTGTCGTTCGGTCCGGTGCAGATCACCTTCTTAACCGGGTCGCCGTTGACTGTGAACTCCTCTTTGCATGTCCCGTCACTCAGCGTGGGCTTGACGTACACGAAGGGCTCCTGGTGGATCGTCACAATCTAGGGGGAAAGGGGAGACCCAGCCTGGACCACCGACCTAAGGCGGCCCAGGGCGCAGGCCTCTTAGCCCCTAGCCTCCCCTGGCGCCCCTCCTAATCCCCGACGGTTTCCCCTGACCCCGTCCCCGCTGGCGGCCACTGCTTCTCTCTGGAGCTTCTTTACAGAGCCCAGGTGGGCTGGACACATTCTCCCCGGCCACCGTCAGCATCATCTGCCTGCAGCCCCCGGGGGAAGGGGCAGGGCACAGAACGACTCCCGGAGCGCTAAGCCCTTCTCTTCACCGCTTTTCCTCCAGTCTGGGCTTAGACATGACTCCTTCCAGCAGAGGAGCTGCCGATGTCCTGCGTGCCAGGAACCTTCCCATGGTGAGTAACTCCCCACCTGCAGGCTGACCCCCCTTGCTGCGCCATGAGGACCCGCGCGTCCACGAAGCCGACCTGCGCCTGCGTAGGACCCGGGGCGTGGGGCTATCCACCCATGCCTCCCTTCATCCAGGCACTCTGCCTGTTCCCGCCCCCAACCCCGCAGGCTCTGGCACACAGCCTTCCGGCTTTGAGCATCGGTCTGTGGCTCCTTCCTCTTGCCCCTGTGGACATGCTCCCCCCATCCGTGGCCTCCTTGACCCACACTTCTGCTTGGGCTCAGCCTCCTGTCTGTCCTTCAGGGGACCATGGCCTGGGGGTGGGGAAGGGATCTGGGGCAGGGGGGCTGGAATGGAGCATAGCGTACTGCCAGGACTCTGGGGGGAGATGACTCAGAGCTGAGCGCGAAAGGTGGGCAGGGATCAAGCAGGTGCCCAAGGGCAGGTGGAGCAGAGGCGCCCGAAGTCCAGGACTGCAAAGGCAGGGAGCCATGGGGTTAGTGGGAGAGGCACCTCCTGGCAGGGCCTAGGGAGGGTGAGTCTGAGAGGGGGGCAGGCCCAGCCTCAGCCTCCAGGCAGCATTTTGGCTTTTATCCCCAGGGGTATCAGGAGCCATTAAAGAAGTTTATTTGATTTATAAAACTTTCACGATGTTTTTCTGTTATACAGGTAATACATATGCTAGTACTTTAAAAAAATTAGTGAGGCCAGAAACAAACTTGTAAAAAGCCATCTGCATCTCACAGCCTGGATGGGGTCTTTGGCGTTTGACCACTGCTTTCAGACTTTTTAGTGTGAGGTGTCTGGGCTGCAATGAGACCCACACTGGCACTAGAAAACCCCACCCTGTCTGGAGAGCAGAGAGGGAATCTGGGTGGGAGGCTACAGGGGTTGGCACCAGGCTTCAGGGGTGGGCTCAGAAGGCAGACAGGGTGAAGAGACACTTGAGGGCCTGGAAAGACAGGGAAACATGCTGCCTGTGAGGTCCTTGCCTTTGGTGGTCTGTGGTACCGCTGGGACTGGAGTGTGTGTGCAGTGGGCGTGGGGTGGCTCTGCCCCAGGAGGAATGCCCAGGAGAGCACCATGGAGTAGGGAGCCAAGGAAAAGATGCCCCAGAGGAGGAAGCCAGCCAGGGCAGGGGGCTCTCAGAAGCCCAGGGGAGTCAAGAAGGACTGTCCACCACAGGGAATGTGGCAGGAAGGCCACGTTGGAAGAGGACAGTTTGACGCAGTCCCATCAGGAGACCATGGGGGCTGGAGGAGGGATGAGTGTGGAGGACCAGTACTCAGGACAGCTGGTGCTGAAGCTGAGGTCTGCACCAGACCCCCTCTGCTGTTCTCTATCTGCTCTTCCCCAGCCGGGTGCTGTTCCAGACAACTGCTCCAGACTTAAGTAGGGCTGGAGAGCAAGAGGGGCACTGGAGAGCACCTGTGGGATTGGGGCAGCTTCCTCTCCTCCCTCCTGATCTCTCTGCTTCCTGCACTGTGCCAGGTGTGCTGGATGGTGGTCAGGGGAAGCAGGCCCCACCCCCACTTCCTTTAGTGGCTTTCATTGCCCTCACTGCAGCCCCCTCCTTCAGGCCAGAGGGGTTGGATGGGCTGTCTAGGGTGGGGACACTGAGGGAGGTCTGTGGGGCCCCACCTTCAGTCTGGTGGACATCTGGTACCCTCGAGGCTTCTCTGTCTCTCCACCTGGCCAGATGATCTTCCTGTCATTAGGGATGACCTGGGGGTGGGAGTATGAGATGGAGGGTGGCCACGCAGGGGTCTTGGCCCCAGGACCCTAAGGCCCCAGCCCCCACCCCCTCATGACCCCCACCTACGTGGGTGCCGTTGTAGATGCCCACTTGCACCAGCTTGCGGTTCTGCAGGTTCATGATGCTATAGTTGGCAAACTTCCGGTCCCCATCCTCATTGAACTCTACGCGGCCGGTCACCCCATCCGCATACTTGGAAGACATCAGCACTCTAGGGGAGGAAGCATGGCTGAGGCTTCTCAGAGCTGCTCCTTCTCCCTGCCCACTGAGCTGCTCAGGCTTGCCCCTCGTCCCAGTTCCAAGAATGGAAAGATCGGCAGACGCCAGACCCTGGCCGGCAGGGTGTCTGCCTGCACCAGATGGACAGTGCAGCTCATGGCAGCTGAATGGCTTCTGGGTGCCAGACCCTGCTTCAGAGGCTTTCCATGGGTCAGGATGTTGTCCTCACAGCCATCCTGTTTGACAGAGAGGGAGGCAGAAGCCCAGAAAGATGCCTGCCCTCTTGCCAGCGAGTGAGGGAGAGGTTGAGCCGGCTCTAACCAGCAGGCTGTCCTGTCTGGCTGTGTGTGCCTGTGTATATTCTACCCAAAACCACGAGTGAACTTGTGTGGACACGTGATCCCTATGCGGGGTGCACCCATGCATGTATTGTGTCTCATGCCTAAGTCTGTGTGCACACATAGTTCTGTGTATGCGTGTGCACACGTGCTGCCTACATCTGCGCTTATGTGGGCATTGTGGATAGTGGCTCTGCACATGGGGACCTGGGGGTGGGCGGGCATGGCATGGTGTCCAGACGTACTGTGAGCTCACTCCTGCCATACTGCAGATGCTCACTTGGGTCTCTGGTCCTTGGCCAACCCTGGCTCTCTCAGGCTCGTGTGCTGTCCTTGGACTCCTTGTCTGGCCTCCTGGGCCCCTGGAAGCTTTCAGTCCCCATCTGTAGCAAGAGCCTCCTCCCAAAGGCTGCCAGCCACACAGGGAGAGGGGTGCTGTTTCAGGGTGGGCTGCAGTGTTAGGGGCGAGAGCAGTGGAGCAGTCCCTACTCCAGTGACAGTCCAGGTACTGGTGTCAGTGTTGGGAAGGCAGATGATTGTGCCATTCGATGTGGTGGTGCTGGGGGTGCGGGGCGGGGAGAGGAGAGAAGTGACACTGTCCATAGAATGTAGGCAGCAGGCTCACTGCAGCACTCCAGAGAGTGGTGCCGCCCACCTCCTGAAAGCGACCCCGCCCACCCCAGCGCCCCCACACCTCTCTTCAAGAGCCGCCCCGCCCAGCTCCCTATGAGCGACCCCGCCCACTTCCCCAAGAGCGGCCCCTCCCAGCCCCGAGAACGAGCCCGCCCGGCTCCTGCGAGGCCACGCCCACATCCAGAGCCCCGCCCCGTTCTGAGAGGCCCCGCCCACCTCTTGAAGAGCGGCCCGGTCTTCCAGATGTTGGTGTTGCCCACGCAGCCCCGCGGCGGGTCGGTGATGTTCTCCTTCTCGAGGAGCTCGTGCACGGCCTGGGCCACCACGCCCACGGCGTCGCTGATGTGGGCCGACTCGTTCTTGCCGTTGATGAGCTGCAGCCCGAGGATGCCTGGGGCGAGCACGCGACTCAGAGCCCGCTGGGGGCCTCCCCGCTCGGGGACCCCGCCAAGGCCCAGCACTCACCGTCTGGGGCGTAGCGCAGGGCGTTCCCCGAAATCTCGCGCTCCCCGACCAGCCACACGTACCCGGAGCCCGTCATGTTCAGCATCGCGGCTGCGCGGTACACGGTGGCAGCATCGTCCTCGCTGTGGGGCAGACGGGGGTGACGGGCCAGGACTCCAGCCCTCCCACCGCGCTCCGCAGGCCCAGATCCTCCTTCTCTGGAGCAGGGACCTGCCCAGCCCCCAGCCCCTCCTGGAGCGAAGCCTGGAGACCCGCAGAGGCACTGGGGCCCAGAGCCCAGGAGCCTCCCAGGCCTTCGTCGCTGGCCCTTACCTTGGGGGAGCAGGGAAAAATTAGGGACCTGGCTTAGGGGACTAGCCTTTTGCTGTTGTCTCCACCTGTGCCCCCCAGCACGCCCACCCCTCCGCGTCAGAAGGCCCCCCACGATGGTGATGGATCATCACTAATCACTTCCTGGCCAGATACCAGGCACTGCTCTAAGTGTTTCACAGTATCCCTGTGTCCCGAAGGGAGATGGAGGCACGCAGGACACGCGAGTTGGTAAGTGGCAGAGTCAGGACACAAGCTCCTAAGACCTCCTAGAGAAGTCCCACCGCTCTGGTCCTCTGTGTTCAAACATGTGAAATGAAGGGTTGGGGGGCGGTTCTCCAGGTTGGTGAGATACTGGTGGGATGCAGCGTCCTGGGGGTGGCCAGAGATGACAGGTGGCCTTCCCCTCTGGGGTCTGCACAAGCAGCTGTCTTTACCCTGCCACCCAGGCCTGGGACCACCCGGAGGACAGAGCAGAGGCAGGCCTCACCTTGTGGCCGTGTGTGGTCTGGAGCGCTGGCAGTGTTCTTGCAGGTGGGCCCCTGTGGACAGTGGAGCAGGGGACCTGGTCCTCTGGGGCTGGGGCCTCTCTGGCTATGACAAGGACCTGGGGGCCTGGTGGGACTCTTGAGGCCTTTGTGGGGGTCTTCCTTCACCCCCGTCTGTCAGACCCTTCTCTGCAGGGCCTGACGGGCTCCAGGTGGGCCCAGACCACCCCTGACACTTGGCTTCTCCAGGCGTGTGCAGCAGGGTTGGGCAGATTACCTGAGTGTTGAGTAATTTTCACAATGCTTGACGCTGGAAACCAAGGTGACCCTCCCCTCCCTGAGGAGAGGTCTGACCCCAATTTTCTCAAGAATAAGCCCACAAAGAAATGCAAACCTTCAGTGTTTGTTCTACATGACAATGCTATTGGTGGATGTCAGCAACACAAAATAGAGGTGGCACCAGCAGCACTGGCCCAGGCCCCAAATGAGAGCATCCAGCAGAGGCTCCGCACACAGAACACAGCACAGCTTCCAGCAAGACCCAACATCACGCCTGTCATGGCACAGGTTGCCCGCTGTCAAAGTGCCCACTGGGGCCTGACGGAGAAGGCCATCTTCTTGACACAATTCAGGTTCATGGCATGTGATGTGGTGGAATGATCAGAAGCAAAACAGTTGTAAACAAAAGCCTGATCTGTCCATCAAAACTCATCCGATAATTTTTATGGAAATAGCTGATATCAATCAAGACAATTTCAGAAAAATGAAAAATTTTGGAAACAAATTATCTGCATACTATGGAAAATTGGTCAAAAATTAAGATTGGCATAATGTCTCCCTGAAAAATACCCTCAACATCCCTCACTAAGGAGGAACCAAAATGTGACAGATTGACGGGCTGAGGTCAAGAAGGCCTTTGCCTGCTGATGCCCAGGGCTTGCCTCTCTGCACTCCTGGGAGATGGGCATACTGGATGGGCCAGTCTGCCTCTGCTGTGGAACATTGGCCTCTGCTCCAAAGAGGCCAAGGTGGGCGGATCACTTGAGGCCCAGGAGTTCGAGACCAGCCTGGCCAACATGGCAAAACCCCATCTGTACTAAAAAATACAAAAGTTAGCCAGGGGTGGTGGCATATGCCTGTAATCCCAGCTACTTGGGAGACTGAGGCATGAGAATCACTTGAGCCTGGGAGGCCAGGGTTGCAGTGAGCTGAGATCGTGCCACTGCACTTCCAGCCTAGGCGACAGAGCAAGACTCTGTCTCAAAAAAAAAAAAGGCCAGGGGTGGTGGCTCATGCCTGTAATCCCAGCAATTTGGGAGGCCAAGGTGGGTGGATCACTTGAGGTAAAGAGTTCAAGACCACCCTAGCCAACATGGTGAAATCCCATCTCTACTAAAAATACAAAAATTAACCGGGCATGGTGGCGCACACCTGTAATCCCAGCTACTCAGGAGCCTGAGGTGGGAGAATCACTTGAACCCCAGGGGTCAGGGGTTGCAGTGAGCTGAGATTGTGCCACTGCACTCCAGCCTGGACAACTAAGCAAGACTTTGTCTCAACAAAAAAAGAGGAAAGAGGGATGTTGTTGGGTGTGGGTTTGATATGTGTGCTGTGGTCAGTGTATGCATATGTGTGGGGTATGGCATGTAAGCAGCATGGGTGGTTGGGTGTGCACGTGGTGTGTGTGGTGCACGTGTGTTGTGTGTACAGGTGAGCATGTATCTATGGGGGTCTTTGTATGGAGTGCATATGGTGCTGTGCTGTGTGCCTGTGCCTGTGTCTCATGTGCAGGTCTTGCATGTGTGTGTATATGGCATGTGCTTGGTGCATGTGGATGTGTGTACTCATGTAGTGTGTCTGTGGTGTGTGTGCACATGTGTACGTGTTGTGTATGACCTATTCATGGTTGTGCATGCATGGATGGATATGTATGAGTGGTGTTACTGTGTGGATACATACATTTGTGCACATGTGTGTGTGGGGTGTGCACATGCATAAACCTGTGGCATGCAGTGTGTGCTCATGTGCATGGACATGTGGTAGGCACATGGTTTCTGTGTGAATGCATCTATATATCTGTCTGCCATGACCATGTCCCTTTCCCTGGGCTGACCTTTTTCCTAGGGCCATGTCTGGAAATATGACCTTGACCCTGAGGCTGGCAACAAGGGGCAACCTGTGGGACTGCAGTGCATGGCTCAGGGGCTCATTGTCCAGAGAGAAGACAGTGGAGAAAATGCCCACTCCCCTCTCTGTGGGGACCTGGGCATGGTGGGGTTCTGTGGATTGGTTTTGTATGTGCTTTTCTGACCCATGTCCTATTGGTCACGCCTGTTAGAACGTAGGGATCGCTTGATGTGAACTTGTCTGTTGCAAAAGTGCCCAACAGCGGAGCAGGTATGTTTTAGGGTAATCGACACTTTGAGTCGCCCCCTCTTGGATGCAGAAATCCTCCACTGGCTCTCAAGCTCTGGGATGAGTGAGGGAAGTGTAAACAATTCAGAAAATAATAGAAGAGGCTGGGCATGGTAGCTCATGCCTATAATCCCAGCACCTTGGGAGGCCAAGGTGAGTGGACCACCTGAGGTCACGAGTTTGAGGTCAGCCTGGCCAACGTGGTGAAACCCCGTCTCCACTAAAATTACAAAAGTTAGCCACGTGTGGTGGTTTGTGCCTGTAGTCCCAGCTTCTCGGGAGGCTGAGGCAGGAGAATTGCTTGAACACAGGAGGCAGAGGTTGCAGTGAGCTGACATTGTGCCACTACACTCCAGCCTGGGCGACAGAGCAAGACTCCCTCTCAAAACAACAAAAAAGAAAACAGGAGAGCCCTGCTGAGCTTTCCTTGGGCTGATCTTTTTCTAAGTAAGGCTTTTTCTGGGCGAGGCTTTCCCTGGGTGGGGCTTTTTCCGGGCAGATGGGGCTTTCCCTGGGTCCGAAGTTTCTGGGAGGAGCTTTCCCTAGGCAGGGCCTTCCCTGGGCGTGGTTTTCCCTGAAGGGGCGGTGGGGAGGCTTTCCCAGGGTGGGGCTGTCTCTGGGTGGAGCTTTCTCTGGGTGGGGCTTTCTCTGGGTGGAGCTTTCTCTGGATGTGGCTGTTTCTGGGTGGAGCTTTCTCTGGGTGGAGCTTTCCCTGGGTGGGGCTGTCTCTGGGTGGAGCTTTCTTTGGGTGGAGCTGTCTCTGGGTGGGGCTTTCTCTGGGTGGAGCTTTCCCTGGGTGGGGCTTTCTCTGGGTGGAGCTTTCTCTGGGTGGAGCTTTCCCTGGGTGGGGCTTTCTCTGGGTGGAGCTTTCTCTGGGTGGGGCTTTCTCTGGGTGGAGCTGTCTCTGGGTGGGGCTTTCTCTGGGTGGGGCTTTCTCTGGGTGGAGCTTTCACTGGATGGGGCTCTTCCTGGGTGGGGCTTTTCTGGGCGGGGCTTTCCTTGGGTGGGGCTTTTTCTGGGCAGGGGTTTTCTGGGCGGAGCTTTCCCTGGGCGGGGATTTCTCTGGGCGAGGCTTTTCCTGGGTGAGGTTTTTCTGGGTGGAGCTTTCCCTGAGTGGGGCTTTCCCTGGGTGGGGCTTTTCTGGGTAGGCTTTTTCCCTGGGTGGGGCTTTTCTTGGGTGCGGCTTTTTTCTGGGCAGGGGTTTTCCTGGGTGGGGCTTTTCTGGGCGGGGCTTTTCCTGAGTGGGTCTCTTTCTGGGCAGGGCTTTTCCTGGGTGGGGCTTTTTTCTGGGCAGGGCTTTCCCTGGGCGAGGCTTTTCCTGAGTGGGTCTCTCTGGGTGGAGCTTTTTTGGATGGGCTATTTTTCCCTGGGTGGGGCTTTCCCTGAGCAGGGATTTTCCTGGGTGGGTCTCTTTGTGGGTGGAGCTTTCTTGGGTGGGCTTTTTCCCTGGGCGTGGCTTTCCCTGAGCGGGGCTTTTCCTTGGGTGGGTCTCTCTGGGTGGAGCTTTTTTGGGTGGGCTTTTTCCCTGGGCGGGGCTTTCCCTGGGCTGGTCTTTTTTCCGGTCTGGGCTTTCCTTTCTTGGGACTTGTGCATACCCGGACCTTGCCTAGTCACATCTTTTTAAATCTTTTCTCCTGGAGCCCTGGCTAACCCTCCCTAGGGCCCACAGGTGGATGAGTGGTGTGGACAAGTGACCCGTGAGCCTAAAGCTGAGTGCAGGGGGCGTAATGGGGGAGGATTAGTGCTTTTTTATAGCAGTTGTGGGAGGAGCAGGCAAGGCTCGTGGACAGCTCTAAGCAACAGCCCTAACTTCCGCTGGGGAAATTCCTGCCTTCTAGACTGAGGAGTCCTGGCTGGCCCCACCCTGCGCTCTGCTCTGGTGAGGGGGCTGCAGCTGTCTCCGGGCCAGAGGGTCGTTTGAGGGACCGTGCACGTGGTGGTCTGCCATGGGAACGAGTGTCGCTGGCTGTTTCCTGAATGCAGGCCTGGACGGCTGGGCTGTGTTCCTCTGGGCATTTCGCTGCTGTTTCACTCTGCTCTGTTGGAGCCTAGCAGAGCTTCTAGGTCAGGGGACAGTGAGGTTGCGGCTGTCCCATGGGGCAAGGTCCCTCACCCTGCCCTTCCTCACACTTGCTCTGCTTATTCCCAGTCACCCAGCCTTTCCCTTCCCGGGAGAACCTAGCCATTTGCAAATAGGGAGCTTTTCACAGTGGGCTCCTCCCCGAGGTTGCTGTGTTGCAACGGATCCTGGCCAGAGCAGCCTGATTTCCTGGGTACCTAACTGGTTTCCCCTTCAAGCTGCTGCTTCAGCTGTTCCAATCCTTAGGAAGTCTGGCCCTCTCCCTGCCATGGGCCTTGTCACCTGGCACACCTGCACATCACTTCCATTGGCCTCTTCCCTGGGCCAGCCCCAGGCCGTGTCTGATAGCTTTGCAGGGTCTCCTCCATCTCCCACCCACACAGCCTAGCTCAGCGGCATGTGACTTCAGAAAGGAGAAGGGCCCAGGGAGGGAGGGATAGATGGAGGGTGTCACATCAGCCAGGGTAAGAGGATTGTGGGTGTGGGTGGGGTGGGTGGGGCTTTCCGTGGTGAAGGTGCTTTGGAAGCTGAAGGTCACTGTGCCCAACAGTATCCCAGCTCTGGCTCAGATGGTGGGTGCTTGGCCAGGTTCCACCCTGTGTGCAGCATGTAGGGCCCTGCCCAGCCTCACCTGGCAGAGAGGATGATGACCCGGGCCTCCAGCTCTTTCGCCTCCATCAGCAGGGCCGTCACGTTCTTGGTCCCTGGGTCAAACTGCAGCACCTTCTCCGCCTGCGGTGTGAGCAGGAGTGTTAGCAGGTGGCTGGGGCAGGGGACATAGCGCCTCAGGGGTGAGGGTCCGGCCGGAGCCGCTGGGAACCCCGAGGCAGCTTAGCTAGGGCTGCCGTGGTCTGCGCGTGCCACCTGCGCCTCCGCCTGCCTTCCTCAGTCCTCACCTGGCCTGGCCTCACCTCTCCGGTCCTGTCCTGTCTTCAGCTTGCGCGCTCACCTGTGCTTGCCCTGTGCTCTCTCTGCTCTCTCTGGGTCTCTCTCTCCACCTCACTCCTGTTCTCATCTTTGCACTGAGCATGCAAGCTGACTCAGGAGGCGTGCAGCGGACGGGAAACAGAAGAGTTTTGGAATGCAACCAGGAACAGAGATGGGGCTGACTTTTCCAAAACCACGGGAGGTCCTCTGAGGTCTGATTCCGCAGGCCCCTGCAGGAGCAGCCCAGCCCCAGCGGGCGGGTGGCCAGGCGGGCGGGCTCCCTCTTGGGTTCCACAAGGAAACCCTGGGGGTCCCGGAGATTCGCATGCACTTCCCGGAGAGCAGCTCCTCCTGCAGCCGCGCCTGCCTCGAGGGTGCAGGCTAGGGTCACGGCGGGTGGGCCTCAGGCACCCGCACCGCCACGCCTGCCCTCTCCTGCCTGCCCTCTCCTGCCTGCTGCCGGCTGCCTCTCCTCATTGCTTGGGCCTGCGGCTCGGCGGCTGGGCCAGACAGTGGCCCTAGTGGCCGAGGCGCCGAGGCCAGGGCTCCCTAGCCGTGGGTGGCGTGCACGTCCATGCATATATACCTTGGGTCCGCGCTTGTTGTCATAGGACAGTTGGTCGAGGTTTTCATAGTTCCTTTTTTTACTCTGATGAATAATGTGCACAGAGAAAATATGCAGACACAGAAGAAGATTATAAACGGTTGAAAATGACGGCGCTAAAGCAATCACACCACCTCCTCGGCACGTCTGCAGACGGGCTCCTACCTGGAGCTCGCAAACACCGAGGCCCGGGGCGGGGCTGGGGTGGGGCGGAGCTGGGGGTGAGTGACGTGGGGGCGGGGCCACGGAGGCTCCCTGCCACGAAGCTGTGCTCTTGGAAACGATCGCTCTCAGGAGAAAGGGAGGCCCTGTCCGCGTCCACCGTTCGGAGGGAGCCCACCTGCCACCCCCACCCTGCCATGCACCTGCTGTGTGGCCCCAGCAGTGCCCACCCCAACCCGCGTCAGTCCTGAGTGGGAGGTGAGCAGCCCCCCGGGACCCTGTCCCCATGTCCCACCCCCTCCCACTCCTTGGCCTCCCTCTGCCTCACTAGAGGCCAAGGTGTCCTCACTAACTGGGGTGTCCACGTCCATCGGCTCACATGTGCGCCCAAGAGGGTTTGTGTGTGCATACGTGCGCCTGCAGGGGTGGTATGGGCCTCTGGGTATCTGTATGGGAGAGTTAGCCCATGAAAGCCAGTGAAGGTTGGGGAGGGGCCAGATGGTCTGAGCATGCCTGTGCTTGTGTGTGTGCCTACGTGCGTGGGTGTGTGTGTGCGTGCATGTGTGCAGGTGTATGAATTTGTGCATATGTGTGTGCACGTGTGTGCATGTATGAGTGTGCATGCGTCCGTGTGTGTGTCCGTGCATGCATATCCGTGTGTGTGTGTGTGTGTGCTGGTGGGTGCAAGTGAGGGTAAGCATGCACATGAGAAGTGCCCCTGTGCGTGTGTCCCAGTGCGTCTGGCACTGGGCAGCATGGAGGCAAGTGTGGCCTGAGCCTGTGTCCCGAGGTTCGGAGTGTGATGGGAATGTGTGCACGAACCTGTGAGTGACAGCAGCCGGTTGGGTGTGCAGGGGTGAGTGTATGATGGGAGTCCGTGGCCGTGGGTGGGCACACCAGAAGGTGAGGGGTCATTGGGCACCGGGGTGAGGGGCACTGTCGTGTGTGAGGCCCTCGGTTCTCATGCCTCTCTCCGCCAAGACTCAGCAGACCCCCACAACAGGACTCCCAGGACCCTCTGGTCTGCCCCTGGCTTTACCCACCACCCAGGCCCTCTGGTCCCTCCCGGGGCCTGTGGTGCCTTGGGGGTGCCAGCTTGGCCCTAAGTTCGATGAAGCCAGCCCTGACACGAAACATGCTCCCAGCCACCCCTTGGTCTGGCCCTCCTCAGCCTGTGCCTCCTCCCCCTGCCTGACCAGGAGCTGGCATAGGTGCTGAGCACCCAGGGCTCCGGGATCCTGCAGCCAAGCTTCAGCTCTGCCTCAGGCTGCAAATGGGAGTGTCAAGGAAGAGGGCAGGGGTCTCTTGGACCCCCATTCCCAGTTCTATCTCTCCGTAGCCCCACAGAGTGGACGCCTGGCTGTGTGTGGGGTCAGTGTGTTGTAGAAGAAGGTGGCTAATTGATCTCGGTGAGGAGCATGGAGGGAGCCCTGTGGTGGGGGTAGGGGGGGAGGGGAGCCCACAGGGGTGGCCCGGGGGCAGGTGTCTGTGGGTGGGGCTTTGCTGAGGCGTGGGTGCAGGGCTTCAGGGGAGGCCACTCCGGGGAGGACAGGGAATGGGCCCAGAAGGGAGGGGACAGGCCTGCGGGGTCCGTGTGCAAGGAGGGGGCCCTGTGCAGGGGAGGCCTTGCCCAAGGAGGCTGCTGGGGACTCAGCGCGGGATGGTGGGAAGAGTGACGTGAAAACCCGAGCCTGGCTGGGTCCAGGAAGCGAAGGGTGTGGGCAGGAGGAGGGACGAGGGCGCGGGGCAGCGCGGGGCAGGGGTGTTTGCGGAGCTCCAGGTGGTCTGG